GCAGAGAAAAGATTCCTGGGTCCCCACACTGTCCCCAGGTCTGCACTGAGCAGTACTAGACTTATGAGGTTACACGCCTTTAAAGTGGAGTTTTACTGTAATTTTTCAAGTTTTAAAAAAGTGGAAGAAAAATGTATATGTTAGTTATAGACCTAGAAATGGCATGGCCAACTACATTTACTTAGTTATAAAGAAGTTATTAGTTATTCATCTCAGTAAAAAAAAAAATCCTACAACCTAAAAAGTTACTAACTTAAATTTATTATGGGGAAATTTCATTATAAATTATATTCTGCTTTCTACAAGAATAAATCCTAGAAGGGTAAGATTTGTCCTTGCCAATAGAATAACTCATAAAGTAAGTTAATGACAGCTGTCACGTATTAGCATGTGAACCATGTCTGTGCTGTAGGGAGGATTACTTTCCCTGAGCCTGTTTGTAGACCTTGTCTTTGACCCACTCTAGTTACCTTCCTTAGTGAGCACGTGTTGATGGACAGCTGTGCGCTTACCTTTGACTTTACCATCTCGGCTAACAGGTGCATTTCTCTGTTTCAGATGTTTCAGCAAAAATTTAAAATATTGTTTTAAATTATCATAAAGACCATTGGTGGGGCTGGGGAGATGGCCCAGTGGGTATAATGAAGACCAGAGTTTGGATCCTAGCATCAGTGTAAGTGTTAGGTAACATGGCAGCCTGCTAGGAATCCATCACATAGGAGGTAGAGGGAGGAAGCTCCAGAGCAAACGGCATAGCTAACTAAACCTGCCTCCACATATAAGGAGGAGACTCTGAGGAGAAGGCAGCCAGTATCAAGCTCTGACTCGATGTGTGCATGTACACAATGCACACGCACACAAAGAGTGTCCAGACACATGTAAGCGTGCACAAACATGACACTACTTCATACACACAGTCACATGGAGGGGAAACGGTTCGTTCGGTGGTGGTGTGGTGATTTTTTTTGTAGTATTGTTTTTTTTGTTTTTTTTTTTTTAATAATTAGGCTTTAAAATTCTGGTCAATGATAAAGTTAAATAAATATACATAAATATAAATGAGGCAGATAACTGCCAATCTCTTAGAGTATGTCTGATTGTTAAGATGTCAAGCCATTTGATTACAGTGAGATAAAGGGAACACTTGTGTGGAAGGGCATTCCTAAGGCTGCTGCCTGAGGGAAGGCGTGTCCGTGGTTTTGAAAATATGTACTACTGCTAGACTTTGACTTTCTTTTTAATTCTGCGGTTCATTTGGAAATGACAAGAGTGACAGTTTGAGAAGGGAGCTAGTTTCCTTCCCACCCTCAGAAGTATTGGATGGGAGCCAGGGGTGGTGGCCATGGCGTAGTATTTAATCCCAGCACTCAGGGGCAGGCAAATCTCTATCAATTCCAGGCTAGCCTGGGCTACATAATGAATTCCAAGCCATCCAAGGCCTCACAATGAGATTCTGCTCTTTTTAAAACAATGTAGCTGACATGGTACCAGTTCCTAAATCCTTTGCATTCCTTTCATTGGTTTGAATAGAGCCTTCATTATTTAATAGTAGTCTTTTGGGCTCGTATTCCTTCATGTGCTCAGACTCCAGAACAGTCAGTGCCGTAAGGGTTGGATGGCTTCACTACTAATTAAGTACAGAGAATTTTATTTTCTCCTTGTACACCCATAAGGTACTACTAGACTTCTAAAGGGTAATGGTGTGAGGTACAGTCTGTGTGGTTACCAACGAGAAGAATATCCTATGTAAAGAACTTTCAGAATGTTTTTTCCAGCCTCGGCGCCAGCCTCAGCTGCATTAAACAGCCTCAGGGCTGTGACTTGTCAGCACTGAGGAAGCAGCGCCTCGCACTGCCCACTGCTGCTAATGTCTGTGCATGTGTTCATATCTAGCTTACGTACTTGACTCAGGACAAGTGTCCTCTGTGGTGGGACACATGTCTGTGAGTAACTAAGTATTGTGTGACTTTGATCAAATACTGTTCCTTTCACTTATGTTGGATTTTGTTTTCCTTCCTAGGTAGCCTTTCCAGTAAGTATATGACTCAGGGGAGAGCCTCAGTGAAGAGGACCCAGCAAGAATCATGAGGGAAGGAGCTGCAGCACTGGAAACGCCACTCAGGTGTCCCTGTCCACTTGGGAAATTAGGTTCACATCACAGGATACAGTGACACAGATCAGGCTTCAACATAACAGTTGAGGGGTGTCATAATTTTTTAATTTTTTAATTTTAATGAAATTGTCAATGAGGAAAAGAAAAATTTTAATATAGTCTAACTATACCACCAATCCCCAGAGATTTGAAGATTTTAATAGAAAGTCAACTTAAAAATATAACTGAGGGCCAGTATTCAATGACTACAGTGTCATGGTTTTTAGTTCTTTCAAAGCACTCTGAAGATAGCGTACTGCTCACCAGAGGAGGTAGCCCTCTTTTCCCTATCTGTTGCTTTCCAAGAGGGGATTCTCTTTACTGGATCTTTTACTGGATCGTGGTATGGACACATATCAAGTACATGTGGACTGTGCTGCTGTACATAGGGTCTGCAAGCATTCTTCATGGTTCCCTGTAGAAACGATAGCATGGAATGCAAGCGTCCGTCAGCGTGGGCCTCGGTGGACGGCAGCACCACTGACAGACACATCTCTGGGGGCTTCTCTAAGTAGCGGACAGAACTGTTGTGCTCATAAAAATGAAGTCGTAAAAATCAGTAGTCCTTTTTGCTGGTTTAAAAAAGAAAAAGGGAAGGGGGAAAGGACAGAATAAAAGTGCTTTTTTACTTTTTACGATTCTCAGAAATTAGGGTGGAGAGCTTTTACACACCTCTGAAGATCAAAGAGGCTGCTGTCTCTGCCAATCACAAGTTTGATTGGCAACCTTCTGGTCTGACTGGAGGCCTCTCTAAACTGTTAATGAACTTCACAAGCCTTTCTGAAATAGTACAGAGTCAGAACTATGCCAGTTTATTTATCATTTTGAAATAAAATCGAACTTTCAACGTGTAATTTTATCCATATTATTTTCTTATTAAAAAAATCATTAGAAAAGTCAATCAAAGATCTGACCATATAAACCTCCTTAATAGGATGCCTATGCTGTTCCCCTTTGGTGTGTACTGGGTTATTGATAGCTGTGTGCTGGGTCTGGGGTACAGGAGCGGACTGGGAGCTGAGAGACAGAGCTTGCTGAGGACACTGCCACCATGAGGAGGACTCAGAAGACGCAGATGTGTTTGGACTTCTGTTCATAGTCTAGTTATGGAAGAGTCATGTCAAAATGAAGTCTTTGAGAAATTGGAAATCATGGTAAAAAAATAAAATAAAATAAAAATGGTGACCATCAAACTCATGAGTTGTGCAACCGGGGCCTCCCTGCTACGTGACTGCTCAGCTGCTGTCCTACATGCTTTCCTCTTGCCTCTGGCTGTGAAGTGACAGCACTCTGCTCTGGCTGGAACAGTGCCAGGCCTACTGAAAAGCTCTTAGTGTTGTCTACATCTCTCTGCCTCTAGAACAGAAAAGAAATACCAGATCGACCTTTATCCCTGGCGGTTATTTTCTACTTGGATGTTTTGCTGGTTGTTGGGGGAGGGGAGTGTACTTATTCCTAAAATTAAGAAACAGAATTGTCAAGTTTTATTCTATCCTTAAAAAGGTTTCCTATATTTTGATTCTTAAAAGAAATTCTGCCCGGCAGCCTGGAGTTTTTGATGGCTTACACTGATACTGTTAGACAAGTGAGGCGTGCTTGTCAGCAGATGAGAGAGCAGGCTGCCCAGGACTTGGCCAGCATGGCTCACAGCCATGGATAAGTCAAAGCTGCCTTTGCAAGGATCGCAGCGGCCGATGCCCTGTTGTGTCCTAAAAGTGGAAACTCAGAATCCACTGGTGTTTTTATAGCAGGAGTTCTGAAAAACCATCTTCACTTTTTAGCAGTCTCTTGCTCACTGTGAACTGCTTCGGCAAGCTTCCTGGTAAAAGATGTGTTTTCCGTGTACTTAAATAGAGTTGAAAACATGGTGTACCCACTCTTTGTAAAGCTATGAAGAAAGGGTCAGAACATTTTCTTTGCTCCTGGGAAGGTCTAGGCAGCAGCAATGTAGAACATCCGTCCTACTCTGTCAGTGTTCCAGCATAGCAAAGTCCCCACTTAGGACGGGAAACTGCCCCTCCTAGTCGGAAAGATCGCTCTGGGAAAGAAAGCACTGGTTCTTTCAGTCTAGACCCGAGGCCGAATCCTGCAGTGCAGTTCCATTTCCCTCCCTCAGCCTTCCTGAAACCATAAGGGGACGTTCAGGGCTCGCGAACTCCTCAGTACTCCCCACACCCACCCAATTCCAGCACCCGGCCGGCTGCTGCTCCGAGATAAAGGAGCTCCTGTCCTTACGTCATCACTAGAGCCCAGCGCACGGGCCGCGAAGGAAGCCGAGGCGCTGACGTGCGTACAGCTAATCAAATGGGAGCCGCTTGCAGGAAAGGCTGGCTGAACGTGCACGGGATCGGGAATCCAGAACTGGTTCTAACGTAGCGCCCAGGGCACTCTAAGGCTCGGATAGAGCCACCGTGCCCGTGCTTCCATCCTCGTCTGTGGCGAGGCCGGTAGCTGTGTACGTGCTGTTTTCCTGACACAAGTGTGACATTTCAATAACGGGAAACCTGTCCTAGGGGGTCCTTCCGCTTGCTCTACCGTCAGAGCAGCTTCAGGCTCACAGAACAGCAACCCCACTTCCGGGAGGCCTGTCGTTTAAGTGCGCCGTGCGGAAGGAGCCATTCCTCTTCCGGGAGCGCACTGACCGCGAAGCCCGCAAGGTCACAGGTCAGCTCCCGTGCCTCGTCAGTGGTGACGGCCAATCGACACGGCCCGTCGCTCAACCTGACTGTCCAATGGTGGAGCGGGGTGGGCGACGGGGGGGCGGGGCCTGTGGCGCCTGCGCAGCAGCTTGTGTCGTCAAAGTGCCCGCCGTGTCCATGGAGAGAAGCTGAGTCCCTACGCTCCAGCCCGAGGCTGCGGGCGCCGCGACGTGGACATGTCGGCGTCGTTGGTCCGCGCCACCGTGCGGGCCGTGAGCAAGAGGAAGCTGCAGCCCACGCGGGCAGCGCTCACGCTGGTGAGTCACCTCGGCGTCCGCGGGGAGGTGGCGGTGGCGGCGGCGGCCCGGGGAGCAGAGCAAGCCTGGACGCGGACTGGGGCTCCCGGCGGGCCGCGCGCGGAGCTTGGTGGAGCGGACGGGCTGTGGGCGCTGCCACCGGGCGGCCGGGACGGAGGACGGCAGTTTGGCGCCGAGGTCACGGCGTTCCGGGAGAAAGGTCACGCAGGGAACGCCGCGGGTCGGCATAACCTCCCTGGAGGCGTCAGCCCGGGAGGGAGGCAAACTTAGGATCCGGACAGTGTGAGACCGGGAAATCATTCGGTCCAGACGCCACCATGTAATCTGCTCCATCCAGAGCCCTAAGAGGGGCTCTTGCCAATAATTAGTTGAAACAGAACAGAAGGGAGTCGTGACTAAGTGAGTGTATCTGTTTTCATGATAGGTCATTGTTTGGCCCTTCGGTTTGCTCCAATAATCACACCGTGTCCATTGTTGCTTTTTCCTCTGGAGCTAGTTTTTGTCTCCGCAGGTATACCATGGATTCTAGGATTGTGCAAGCACAATTCCAGCTTTGTTCATCTTACTGAGAATAGAGCAGAATCCTCATACAAGTAATAAATAGTCCGTCCCAGAAAAGTCGAGGCACAGGACTGGTGGTGGCGTGGTGGTGGTGGTTGTTGTTTGATTGTTTAGGTTTTCATATTACATGTCACTTGGGAAATTACGACCCGCCCCTTTCTTCCCGGTCCCTCTCTTCAGCACACATTATCAAGACCTGCTGTTTTTCATGACAAGAAATAAGTGAGCTGCCTGGATCCCACCCTCCGTAGGCCATTCTTACCAGGAGTAACATCTCATTTGCACAGTCCTGGACCGTGTCGTGCTTTGTAATCTTCTGTTTGGTTATGTATCCGCTTGTGGTAGCAGGTCTCAGTTCACACCCTCTGCGGTGCTGCCAGGCTTAGCTGTAGGGTCTGTGGTGTTAGGCCTGGTCCTAGAATCACCTTTCCCTGGTTTTCATAGGACACGGGGAACAGCACTGCAGCCCATTGGCAGGCTTTACGGTCCGAGCTTGTTTTTCAGGTGTCTGGTAAACATTTTGAGCCCCAGCACATAGCAAATGCAAAAGCCTAATGTGTGTGAGAGAGAGATAACTAGCAAACAAGAGTGATAAGAGTTGGGCACTGCCTGACCGGTGCATCAGTCTGACAGGAGGAAGTCTGACATACTGCAGAGTGCTCTAGTCTACTAGGAGGAGTCAGCCATGGCCAGGAAAGGTGTGACATAAAACATAAGCACCAACTATCCGTTAGCTGATGTCAGTCCTGGACAGAGTTGATAGGCTGGCACATTATGCTGTATTAGTCAGGGCTCCCTAGAACTTATGGATAGTCTCTATATAGTAAGGGAATTTGTTACGATGACTTAAACAGCCTTTAGTCCAACTCCCCAACAATGATCAGCTGTGAATGGGAAGTCCAAGGATATAGCAGGTGCTTGGTCCCACAAGGCTAGTTGTTTCAGCTGGTATTCCATAGAAGTAGATTCTAACAAATGTGCAGGCAAGTAAATACAAGCAAGCAAAGAAGAATCTTCCTTCTTCCAATGTCCTTATGTAGGCCTCCAGCAGAAAGTGGTACCCAGGAGTGTACCACTATGCCTGGGTCTGGGACTTGTTTTGTCCCAGGCTGACCACCTTGAACTCAGAGATCTCCTTGCCTCAGTCTCCTGGGATTAAAGGCGTGTACTATCTGGCCTGGGCCTAAGCTTTTCATGGCCACTGTGCCTCAAGATCTCCATGCCAAGAGCCAGGTCAGAAACTTTTATCTCTCAGCCTCAAAATCTGGATCACAGGTGAGCCCTCCAGTTCTGGCTTGTAGTTCACTCCAGATACAGTCAGGTTGACAACCAGGCATAGGCATTACACTGTGGTAAGACCTGCAAACCCGGAATGGCTCCAGCTCACTTCATCCAGAAAGAATGGGCTCCTTCCCACCTCCATAGATCTGGGAGTTAATAGAATTGAATGTGTAGGAACCAGAGTAAGATGGAACTGAAGAATGGGAAAATCACCTCCTGGTTGACAGGCAGCTTTAGCTCCATCATTGTACAAGACAGAGGTGGTCAGCTTTCATGGCTAGAGACTCATACTGCACAAAGCTCAACTGATGAGTGAGCCGTGGGGCCTAGCTAGTATCCATGTTGATGTGCTGAGAAGCTAGTTCACTCTACATACACAGAAGACGCTGGAGGACTTAGCTTCCCAGCACAGCCTGATAGCGGGGCCCAGGGTGTGTATAAGGACCTGCTACTTCACTGGAGTAGGGCCAGAAGATCTTTGGAACAGCATCTAGCACGTATGTCTGGTTTAGAAACTCTTACCAGGAAAACCTGCGGAGTACAGCCAGGTTTCTAGTCCAGTGTTAGAACTGCTGCTTTGTTATGATGTGAGAGGAGAGAAAGCCTGTTGGTGAGGTATTGTGTGTTCATTGTAAAGAGTGATTTGTTTTGTTTTACAATTGTTAACTCTTTGGTCACTAATTTAGTAGCCCTTGCAAATATGTAATTAAGCCTTAACCATGGAGTTCTAAGATTATGAGCTATAACAAACACTGCCCGGGGGAGGGGCCCGTATTGGGGAGGGGCTAAACCCGCAGAGACTGAGCTGTAAAGCTCAGGGCCTGAGTTTCCTCTCTATCCCAGATAAAAAAAACAAGCTGGGGTGGGGGCGGGGTGTGCATATTTGTAATCCCAGTGCTGGAATGGACACAGGCAGGGAGGGCTCCAGTGGCCAGCCAGCTACCCTACTGGCCCAGCAGCAGGCCATGTGAAACAGTTCTGAAACTTTCGCTCCAGAACTGCATTTCCCAGCATTCTAACAACAGAAACAGCCTTGGAATAATTGTTTGGTTTGAGTGTTTAATATTTTAAATTACATTTATTTATTGTGTATGTGTGGCCATGGGTGCCTTAGTGATTGTATGATCAGAGGACAACTCTGGGTGTCACTTCTCTCCTTTCATCATGTGGACCCCAGGGATCAAACTCTGGTCCTCAAGCATGTCCACAAGTTCCTTTACCTGACAAACTACCTCACCAGCCCTTTGATAATTTTTTAAAAACATCTTCAATATGTTCTCACTTTAAGCAGCCATGTTTCTGTGGTAGTTTACACAGGAGCAGAGTAAAAGGCATTACTAGATTTTACAGGATTTCAATAATTTAAATTCTGAGCCCTTATTTTTTGGTAAATTTCTTGAGAAGGTTCAGGTTGAGCTGGTCTGGGAATGCAGACATAGTAGAAAGCTGCCAGACTTGCAGTGGTTCAGGGAAGACCTCCGCGCTGCCGCGGTGTGCACATAGACCTGGACTTACCTTCTTTCTAGTACCAAGTCCAGGTCTATACCTAGAACAGAAAGGGCAGTCCCATCGGAGCCCCATTCAACCCATTCAGTTGTTTTGACTAACCAGAACAGTCGCTTGGTTGAACAGTGGCAGCTCTTAGAGGTGTAAGGGTCAAGTGTTAAGACCAGCCTGGGATGCACAGTCTGTATCTCCAAAACAAGGCAGAAATAAAGCAGTCCCTTGGCTAGTTTAAGCTGTCCCTCCCTCTTAGTTGAGAGCTCCTTAGTAACAGCTCCTCAGGGAGGAACACAGCAAAGGTAAGATGGGTTTTGGTCACTTGACAGCAGTTTGCAGACATTCAGGTCCTTTTAATGTTACTTTTCCTTGCGTGTCTTTCCCTGTATACAAGATGTGAATATTAGCAATCCGTGTCAGTGTGGGTGGTATGCATAGCTTGCTTTTGTTCCCTGTGTTGAAATTGTTTTGTTTTGAGACAAACTAGCTGTGTATACCAGGTTGACCTCAAACTCATGATCCTCCTGCCTCAGCTTCCCAATAGCCAGAATTACAGTCAGCCACTGCCTAAATGTTTTCTGAGACTTGAGAAAAAAAGAAAACACTAAAGTAGGCAACTTAGAAAACTTTATGGGGATGAAACTCACGCCCAGTTAATGAGAAAGCCCCTGTGTTCATCAGACAGTATGTGGGTTTCATTTTCTCCTCTGACCCGTGCGTTCTACTCAGGCTCACAGCAGCATCAGCTCCGACATCATGGTTCCCTCACCCGTGCCGTCTAAGCTTTTTGTTTTTGACTGTGTTGTTTTCTGTCTGTGAGTGTCTTACTTGTGTGTATGTATATAGACCACAGTGCCTGGCGCCCCACACCTCCAGGGGCTAGAAGAGGCCATTGGATTCTCTGAAGTTACAGATGGTGGTGGGCCACTATTTGCATGGGTGCTGGGAAGCAAACCCAGGTCCTCTGCAAGAGCAGCCTGTGCTTTAAGCTGCACAGCCTCTGCAGCCGCCCTTGTAAGACTGTTGTTCAAAGTCATGTCCTGTTGACAGAGAATGGATGTATTTCCTCAGCTCTTTCGTAGGAAAGATGCTCATGAAAATGTACAACAGGAAGACAGGAAAGGAAGTGCTTATTGGGAACCACTTGGAAAGACAGTAAATAAATAAGCACATTTTAAAATGTTCTAGTTTTCCTTGACAAACCTTTTATTTTCACTAAAATTATTTTTTTAATTAAGTTTAGATAATTTTAAGATCTATTACAATATGCATACTTAATCCCTTCCCAAATAAGTTCACCTTTAAAAGTTACTTCTTTTCTGAGGCCGTATTGTAGAGCAACCATTCAACTGTGAAATGAAACATCGCTCTACTCTGGGGGCATGTGACGTCACCAGCTAGCAGTACCCTGGCTGGTGTCTACTCTGGGGGCATGTGATGTCACCAGCTAGCAGTACCCTGGCTGGTGTTCGTGGGCCTCTGTACCCTTGGCGTTTCCCGAGAAGAGCAGCCTGCAGTTAAGTGACACAGCTGGAACACAATCAAGGTCTCTCCTTCCTTCTACTCTGCTGGAGTGTGCGGCACTTTATCTCACAGGATGCTCAATCCCAGGGTCGCTCACCTGTCATTTCTCTAATTGCTTTGTCTACTTGGCTTTATCTCTATTGATGTAGCCTCTTTTTTTTATGAGAAGAATATGGCAAGATGTAATAAAATCACCCACAATTAGTTTGATTTGTGATAATTAAAAGCTGCCGAATAACCAAAGAAAAGTTGAGAGTTTTATCATAACTTGGTCTGTATGAGCATCTCAAGCCAGGCACCTGTGTGTTTTCTTCTGCGGTTGGCTGTGCATGCGCGTCTCTGTCTGGCACTGTGCTGGTTACAGAGCATGCAGTAGATGCACAAATGTGATCTTCTCAGGTAGACAGCACAGGAGGAGTGTGGTTTTGTTGTGACTCTCTTTGCTGGACTAAATCCACAGTTCCTCTGACAAGATGTGAGCTTACTACAGGCTGCTGTAGTGGAAGGCCTGGCCAGAAGATGAGTTGATAAACTGTTTCTTTTTTTCAGACTCCTTCTGCTGTGAACAAGATAAAACAACTTCTTAAAGACAAGCCTGAGCATGTAAGTAACTCTTGAAAGGTTAGCAGAGCTGAAGTTCTGTTCTGGGGACAAATGGATTGACTTTGTTGCAGTTATATATGTTGTCACTGACTGCGGTGTTTGGTTTTGTTAGTTTCTACCTTGGCAAGGATTCAACCCCGTCCTAGCTCCTACCAGGCACGTGCTCCACAGGGAACTGCACCCAGACTCTGGACTCTTACACAGGGAGTGAGCATGTCCGTAGACAGCTAGACTCTACAGCTCAGCCGAAGCTTGTCTGCGTGCTCACTGTGGCTGGCCACTCCCTGCCTGCCACCTGTGTGCCTTGGGGTGGCTAAGGATGTTCTGGAGTGTCCCTGGCCTCTGCCTGCTGCATGATAGTAGCACCTTCTTTCTTCCTAAGTTGTAGGGACCAGAATCCTGCCCAGGGAGCCACTGGCCTGCTCGGCACTTGTTTTTGTGTGGGTTTTCTTGCTTCTGCAGACAACAGTGTGCAGTAGTACATGCTGTGGTTACACTTTGGTTTTACTCTGATAATTCAGCCTGGAGGTCTTCCAGGTCATTATCTAACGGTCTCACTCTGTCTTAGTTAAGGTTTTACTACTGTGAACAGACACCGTGACCAAGGCAACTCTTATAAGGATAACATTTAATTGGGGCTGGCTTACAGGTTCAGAGGTTCAGTCCATTATCATAAAGGCAGGAGCATGGCAGCATCCAGGCAGGTATGGTGTAGGAGTAGCTGAGAGTTCACCTTCATCTGAAGGCTGCTAGTGGAAGACTGACTGCCAGACAGCTAGGGTGAGGTTCTTAAAGCACATGCCACAGTGACACTTCAGCAGGCCACACCTCCTAATTGTGCTACTCCCTGGGCCAAGCATAAACAAACCTTCACACCCTCCTTCACAGCTGCACATAATCCTGAGAAGGTTTGATTTGTTCAACTAACCTTCTGTATGAAAGGTATCTAGGTTTTTGTGTCTGCCATAGACATCAGTTACCGGCTGGTGGTGAAGATAGCCAGACCCAGTGTTCTAGACCTGGACTCATAACTTACTACGTCCACAGAGGATCCGTCCCCACAAGCAGGATAGTTGAATTGGGTCTGTGAATCGCTTTGATCTGGATGCTCTTGAACAGCCTGACTGCTGCTCACAGCTTCATCCTGAAAGCTATTAAATGCTGACAGATGTCAGCTCTCAGACTCTGTTTGGACTTTGTAGTGCATAAGTTGACCAAGGACACCCCCCAATCCCATGAAATTAGCTGTGTAGGTTTGCAAAGGTATATTTTTGTTCTTGATAGTGTAAAAATGTGTAATTTATAGCATTGACAACTCCTTTTCCAAAACTCTCATTACCTAAACTTGCCTGGATTGGAATTCTATGCCTTTGAACTCACGGGAGATCAACCTGGCTCTAGTCCCAAGTGCTGGGGCCACAGGTGTGAGCTGCCAAGCCTGGCTTAAAAACCGTTATTTGCAAGTACTGAGGAGAAACTCTGTTTGCTTTTGCTTTGTGTGTTTCTGGGAGTGAGCATAGGACCTCAGACACGCAAGGCCAGCACGCTGCTGTATGGGCGAGAGAAATGGCTCAGCAGTTAAGAGCACTGACTGCTCTTCCAGAGGGTCCTGAGTTCAGTTCCCAGAAACCACATGGTGGCTCACAACCATCTGTAATTGGATCTGATGCCCTCTTCTGGTGTGTCTGAAGTGTACTCATATAAAAATAAATAATTCCCTTTAAAAAAGAAAACAAAAGAGGCCAAGCAAGCCATGAGGAGCAAATCAAGCCAGTAAACAGCATTTCCATGGCTTCTCCTTCAGCTCCCCCTTCACCACCACCACACACACACACACACACACACACTTTAAACTACTGTGGTCTTTGACTTCCTGGTATTTTGGAATGTTCTACTGAACTGCTCTAGAAAGGAGGCTCCTAGAAAGGCAGGGTGGTTGCCAGGTAACAGGATGAGCCTCGGTGCTCACTAACCACAGAATCTCCAGAGAATACCTCACCAAAAAAAGTGGAGCAGAATCTCGTAAAGGAAGCCCAGGTTTTAAAAACAAAATCTCTGCCATCAAAAGAAAAGAGGATGGGCGTGGCAGTGTGCACCTTTAACTCTAGCTCTCCTGAGCAGAGGCAGCTGGATCTGCATAGAGAGACCCTGTCTCAAAGAAAAGAAAGCCAGCTGCGGGGGCACACAAGCCTTGGAGAGGTAGAAGTGAGCAGGTCATGAACTCTGGGCCAGGCCAGGCTTGGCTGTGTAGCAAGTTGATACCACTTTTCAGACCCTCTATTCAAAGAAAGAAAAAAAACGGTGAAAGAAAGACAAGCCAGGTATGGTAGTGCACAGCCATGGGTCCAGCGCTTTGATGGATGAGCCAGGTAGGTCATGAGTTTGAGACCAGCCTGAACTATAAGACAAGCAGCTAGTGTTGGCTGTGCTCCATTACTCCAGATTATAGTCAGGAAGCAAACACTGTGAAACTGGTACCTCATGTCCATAAAATAGAGAGAGGAAAACGTTTACCATGCTGCAATAAAAACAGTCCAGATGCAAATGCAAGCAGGACTGTAAGAAACAGGAAAGCTGCTTTCCAGGACAGCTGTGGCTGTGTGCTTCTTCTGTGTGCTGTCTGTGTTATTGTCAAACTTGTGTCCTGATGCATTTGTTCTTACAGGGGCATTGTGTGACCAGAAATCTGTTACGTACCACTGAGTGTAAGAGAATGGGAATAAATATCAAAGGTTGTTTTCCTTTAAATTTGATTTTGTTATGTGTGCAGGTATTTGTATTTGTGCGTGTGTGTGTGTGTATTCTGGAGTTCTTCCTTGAGTTCTTGAGCTGGCCCTGTCAGCCCTTTTCTGAGCTAATGCAGCCCTTGTTGCTTTTCTTGAGACTTTGTCTTGCTCTTTGGCCTCTGGCCTGCCAAAGTCCTCAGCCTTCCAAGCAAATGTTGGGGTTCAAGGTGTGAGTCACCACACTTGACTGTAGCCAAGATTTTCATTAGTCTTTTAACCTGTACTGTTAACACTCAGTTTGTATTCTCAATTCTTTTCAGGTGGGTCTGAAAGTTGGCGTGCGAACCAGAGGCTGTAACGGCCTCTCTTACAGCCTGGAGTATACAAAGACAAAAGGAGATTCTGATGAAGAAGTTATTCAAGACGGTGAGCTCTCTTGCCTTTGTGAGACAGGTTCCTTTGTAGCCTAGGCTAGTCCTGAACTCCTTGTGTGGCCAGGTGTAAGAATTACCTTAATTCCGGCTCTACCCCCCCAGTGATGAGATGGAGGTATGTACTCCATGCTCAGCTCTGGGAAATAGTGGAGTTGTTTCTCTAATGTTTTCTGGGCACATTGTTGTGACTAAAACATCTTTTCTTGTACAAAACAGATGTAAAGACCGCTGTCTTTTAGGAATCGTGAGAGTGGTGCTCGTTGCGTGCCCAGTCTTGGCAGCAGGCTTTCTTTGGCGTATTATCTATGTGCAGCCACTGAAATGAGAGAGGGGGCCTTTTCCCAGGGTCCGTCGAGCCTGGTGCAAGGAGAGGTTGAGAGAAACGTCTGTGGAGAAGCTGGGTCTGTCTTCTCACAGCTTCTGGGTAGAATTACAGTGGCCATCAGGCTCAGCCTCCCAAGCCTTTAAAGGTCATATTAGTTTGTAGAGTCAAGACAACTTTTGGGAGATGGTTCTCTCCCTTTGCTGTGGGCTCTGGCTGTCAACTCAGCCGAGTGTTCAGGGCAGGCTCCTTTTCCCGAGCCACAGAGAGTAAAGTGAACCAGCCAGCCATTTCTGTTGAAAAATTGTGTGTGTGTTGTGCAGTGTGTGTGTGTGTGTGTGTGTTAGTGCAGATTGCTGGTCCGTCCCTGGAGCTGGAATGGCAGGTGGTTCGGAGCTACCTGAGATGGGAGCTGGGACCCGAGCTGGGTCCTGGGTCCTCAGCAAGAGCAGCACCTGCTCTGGCACATCAGTGACTACATGTGACACCAGCCCCTGTCATCCTGCAAAACCTCCTGAAGAGTGAGGCGCGGTGTGTTGGGTTTAGTGCTGCTACTGTTGGTGATGGAGATCGTAAGTTTGGGCTTCAAGATAGATAGGGTCAGGCCAGCCTGGGTTAGCAAGGCACAGGAAAGAACACTACAGCCCTGGAGAAAGGGAGAGCTGGGGGCTTTGTGGTCTGGTCTGGGCATCTGAGCCATGCTGACAGTAGCTTGCAACTCTTTTTGTGTTAGACAGGCAGGAATTATATTGCTAACTCTACTTCCATTAGACTTAACTGAAATTAATTAATAAAGACCTTTTGTAAGTTAGAAAAAATTGGAGCTGGTGCTTGTGTCTCTTCCGTAGGACCTGGGTTCAGTTCCCAGCACTCACATGGTAGCTCACAAGTATCTCTAACGTTTGTTCCAGTGCACGCACACCTACAGGCAAACATTCATCCACATGAAAATCTAAGAATGACATCAGTTCAAACATAAGCCTCATTGCCTCTGTAGAGGAAGACACCCGTAGTGTGTGTGTTCACGTGTAAGGTGTGTAAGGCGTTAGCAGATTGGAGCTCTTGGTCCTGCAGATATTCTCTGAAGTCTGTGGCTCATTGTTTGGTCTTGGTTTATGTTGTGTGGTTAGAAACACTCCATGAAACAACTGTACTGTGGGTGTTTTTAGCTGATGGTATCAGGCTCAGATCTCTCATAAATGCCATCATTTAAAGCTCAGAATTACACATTTTCCTACAGCAAATTGAAAAAAAAGTGAGTAAACTACAGTGAAAAGCAAATCATAGATTTACAGAAGTACCCTGGAATTTCCACATCTCAGGGTCTTCCCTGTTGTGTATAGAATTGGTTGGATGTAGACTGGGCTAGCAGGAAGTTGTGTACTTCCCCCTGAAAGGAAGTCCTGGGATCAGCTGTAGCGTGGCTGACAGTGCCCACTGGAGACTCTGGGCTTTGATCTGCACGTTCTGCACACTTCGGGCTCTGTGACACGTGTTTCCTTTCCCCCAAGGAGTCCGAGTGTTCATCGAGAAGAAAGCACAGCTCACCCTGTTAGGAACAGAGATGGACTATGTGGAAGATAAACTGTCCAGCGAATTTGTGTTCAACAACCCCAACATCAAGGGAACCTGTGGCTGCGGCGAAAGCTTTAATGTTTGAAACTCAGGACTGCAAGCTCCAGAAGGGCTGGGTCTACCTTGAAGCTCACTGAAGAAATCATGTGATGTCACGTGCTCAGAAGTATCGTGTGTGGCTGCCTCATGGGTGAAAATAAAGCGACGCATTTGGGAATCAAGCTGACGTGCTAAGAGTTCTGAAAACATGGTACCTGCACTCTCTGTAAGACACAAACAGAAAACATGGTACCTGCACTCTGTAAGACACAAACTGAGAAGCCGTTGCTTTCCTGAGTCCTTCTGTTCTGTACAGAAAACTCCTCCCCCGCCCTTACACTGTCACCTGCTTTGTGCTAGAACCAGCTTCTTGGCCATTGCTTTGCTGGGAATTGAGGAATGGGATAACAGGCGTGCACCTAGATCACAAAACGGCTTGAAACTGTCTCCTGGCCCTTTCTCAATCTTTGCCAGTCCCCAATCTCAGGCAGGACGACTGTGGTTAACAGTGTAGTGGGACCTCGTTTCCCTCACCTTTGGCTTGGCCCATTACATTTTACCAAAAATGTGATTATCACATGCCTCCTTTGCCAACCCTGCAGCAGTCCCGAGTTCTGAGTTCCACTATCAGAAGGAGGGAACCACCAGGCCTGGTTTCAGTCTGTCCTCTCGGGCGAGCTTCATGATGGTTTGCTTAGACCTTTCAGTTAGAAGTGCTTATGGTAAGCAGCCTGCTAGCTCACTCCCCGCCATTACTGAGAGCAGCCTGCTAGCTCACTCCCTGTCATTACTGAGAGCAGCCTGCTAGCTCACTGAGAGCAGTTCTCAGACCTTCTGCCCAGCTCTCCCTTCCTCGGACAGCAGTGCTGTCTTGAGACATGTGGAGACGATGGGCCAGCGCACTCACCAGAGTTTAATTTATAGACTGCCATAGTTTTCTTTTGAAGGGAAGTCTTGTGTTTGTTTAGAACTTTGAAACAATCTTACAGAGAAGTTCTGCATCAGTGGGATTACTCAGCACAGGACCTGTGGAACAGAACATGCAAATTCTTACAGTTGCCAGTATCCATATGCTTCTGGTTCCTAAACGAAATTGCTAATCCTTTTTTTAATGTTTTTATCACCAGTTTTTGAGCCATGGTTTTGCTATATACTACAGACCAGCCTTGAACCCACAATCCTCCTGCTATGACGTCCTGAGGCATGTGCTACTACACCCGGATCCCAAGTTTGTCTTTACGTGGTCTTGGTTGATTTGGGGTTGGACATCTTAAGTAACCTGTGAATTCTTTTGTGGAAGGCTGAGTCTCATGTAGCTGAGTTCAATATTTGTGCTGTTTGCTAAAGTACCTACCACCAAAATGTACCAACTCGTAGTTTTATGTGAATGTTGATGAGTTTGTATCATAAATAGAATTGTTGATACATCCTTAATTTGTGCAATATTGTATGAAGAGATTGAGTTATCAATTAAAAACACGCCTCTTTATGATCCTAACAGTGCCTTTTCTTGTGGGGAAGATGGTTTGAATAATTAGCTGCTAAAGCCATGGAAAATTCCCCAGTTTTTTGCTGCCGTCTCCTGAAAGCACATTGGAGATGGTGCTGTCTTGCTTTGCTGCCTGTTTGTGGTAACCAATATATACCACATGTGCATCCCTCCAGCCGACACTGTGGTACCCACCACACCATCCTTTAGCCAACACTGCTACCACACAGACACACACCATTCCTCCGTCCTGCACAGATGCTTCCAGACACCCACAGGAGAGAACAGCACCCCCACTCTGGATACCTTTCCCTTTGTTGTCCAAGCTTCAGCTTCTCTTCCTTCTAGAAGGGTCTTAGCAGTTCAGATTCAGTGAGGCTGCCCTGACCTCATGCTAGAGCTGACCAATGAGTCAGGCTACACTAAAGGGTATGGTACTGTTGTGCGTTATGTGTCAAGTACATGCCAGAAGAGCTGTAAGCTATAGGTCTGCATCCTTTTCATACGTAAGAATCTAAAGCATGACATGAGTAAAATATTTTATCTAATTATATGTGACCAGGTCAGCGTTAACCTCTGTACTATCAGGCTATGGGCCCTGTACTCTGAATAGGTATATTCTGCGTGTTTTAATGACCTCTAGGGGTGGAGGCAGGTAGAAGGTGGCTTCAAGGTTATGTCCTCTAAGCCGAGTTCTCAAAGACAAGAAATGGAGAGGAAAAGAGGAGAATGAATAAAAGCAGTTGGTTTGAAAAGATGATGATGGCTCATGGCTTTAATCCCAGCACTCAAGAGGTCTCTGAAGAGGTCAGCCTGGTCTACAGAGCGAGGTTCCAGGACTACACAGAGAAGAGATGTAAAGGAAAGCTAAGCCCTGAGAAGACAGGCTTAGGAAAGGCAGTGTGACAGACTGGGCTGTGCAAGGGACTCCTCAGCACAGCTACATTCCTCCAGACAAGGGGCAAGCCTACACCTATAGCTAAACAGTCAAGAGCAAACTCGGGAGTGGGGACTGGGGGTGAGCAACAAGACCTTGCCTTAAAATACATATAATTAAAGAAAACAGCATCTGGAAGCATCAACCCTGCGCGTGCACAGAGAGAGGGCTGGAAGAAGGCAGAACCCTAAAAGGACAGAGACCAGTGTGAGTCTGGGTGTATTTGCACTCGGCCATATCTACTGGGGATAGGAAACCAACAGCTGTGTCAGTGTTCTTGCCCTGAGAGTAGAAGGGTTCAGCTAGCATTCCTAACAATCGGTCATTCCAGCCTCAGCACGAGCCAGGAAGTCTCTCTCATATCCACACAAACCCTGGAGCCCTGTACAAGTCACTTGCTGGCACCCTTAAGTCACACTTGGACTAGGCTATCAAATGTGTCTGTAGCCTCACACGATGGCAAATCTCTTGCTTCATATGCCCTCAGTTTAAAACTCACTGTCCCAATCAGGAAGCTCTGAACAGGCCAGGCCACTGTGGTTAAAAATACTCCTTTGTGCATTTCAGAAGGCCAGCCTGCTGTGCTGCTTTGTTCTGGAACATCTCCCAGCCCCCTCCCTACACTATAAGAATGGCTTTTTTCCCTCAAACAGGAAAGGGGAGTAGGGGATTGGAAGAAAACCCACAAGGTTGGTGGGGTCCCTAAGATAACCCAGAACTTCCTAGGATTGATTCAGCAGGAAATACCTCAAAAATAGCCTTTCTTGTATGTTCTTGTGTGTGAGTGATCAGGAAACAGGTCTGTGAGGCTAACCTGAGCTGTGAGCACCAATTAGACTCCAGGGCAGCAGTGACCTGGGCCAGAGACAGGCTTGGCCCAGAATCAGCACAAGCATAGCCTTGGGCATAGTGGTCTGGAGATGAACACTGATGTGCATCTGTCCTTAATCTTAATTGGTGTTCTCAGAAGACAGCACACAGGGAACAGGGTCACAACCCTGTGACTACACAGACATGTTGGGGCTATGAGCTAGTAGCCCAGAATGCCAGGGCTTGCTGACAGACGCTACAAGAAGCATGCAAAAAGACCTTTCTAGCAGGCTTTGGGCGAACATGAGCTTATGATACCTTCAACTCGTTTGTCTACTTTCCAGACTCGTGCAGACTATATTTCTAACTGTTTTTAAAAACACCTGCCTTGGGGAGGTTTGTGACAGCAATGTAGTACACTCTGTCTGCCAAATGTCAGAATCTCTGAAGCCTCATCTTGGGCTGTCTTGGCACAATTGAGCCTGTGCCGCTAAAGCCCTTGCCTGTGACTTTTTGAGGCTTGGTCTCTGCTTGCCAGCACAGGTACTTAGTCCCACGGTGCTGAGGAACTAATTCTGAATCTAATACTGAATTCTGCAAGGAGAAATGGCTGTTGTTGGAGCTCACAGCCTTCCCCATTGCACCTCACCTAGCAGTGCTGCGTGCCAAGAGTGTCGTGCTGGCAGCCGGCAGACGTGGTGCTGGAGAAGTAGCCAAGAGCTACATACATAGGCAAAGAGAGAGCCTGGACTTGGTGTGGCTTTTGAAAGCCCACCCCCAGTGACACACCTCCTCCAGCAAGGCCACACCTCCCAATCCTTCCCTGATAGTTCATCAGCTGGGGACTAAGCATGCCAATCTATGAGCCTGTGGGAGCCAAATCTCATTCAAATCACCACAGATGGTGACACTTGTGTTTTAGATCCTTGATCATGAGCACAGGAGAGGAAAGGATCATGTTCTGCCACCTGAGTCAGTGAGGCTGTGAGTGGACACACTTAGAAACTGTCCTGACCTCACCTGTCCCAAAGCTCATCGTAATTTGTTGTTGTGAAATCATGAGGTCTACTACTCATGAAACTGAAATAGTAATTTCTTAAGTGTTTGGGAGGCTGTCAAGGTTAAGTTCAGAACCTGCTTCCTGTGCTTGAAGCTGTATGATAGTGCATTATGTTGGAAATTCTGCTTTTAGAGAAATGTGACTAGTGTTTTAAGAGACTGTTTGAACTCTAAAGTTACCCCTTGAGCATAGAGCTATCTAATGGAAGGCAAAAGCTGTGGGAAGTTAGTACATCTTTGAAACAGTTTGGGGGGGGGGGGAAGCACATACACATGCGCAGGCATGCACACACAGTGGTACATGAGTACATTCTGAGAATCTACTTCCCAGAAATAAGTTCTTCATGAGGTCAGAATTGTCCTGGGACATTCATGTCCTTAGTAATGAAATCAAGTTTCTAGACTGCTGTCTTGGGAATGTGACAAGAGTCAACTTTCCCCACTCCAGTCAAACCAACACAGCAAAAGAAATCAAGAAAACAATCTCTCTCATAATAACCACAAAACGTGTGTCTTGGAATAAACCTAACTGGGAAAAGGAAAGAATTCTACAATAAAAACATTAATATTGAAAGAAATCTAGAAGACAACAAAAGATGGTGTATTTAGTTAGAGTTTTACTCCTGTGAAGAGACACCATGACCAAGGCAACTCTTATAAAGCACAACATTTAATTGGGGCTGGCTTACAGGTTCAGAGGTTCAGTCCATTATCATCAAGGTAGGAACATGGCAGCATCAAGGCGGGAACATGGCAGCATCCAGGCAGGCATGGTGCAGGAGTTGCTGAGAGTTCTACATCTTCATCTGAAGGCTGCTAGGAGAACACTGATGTCCAGGCAGCTAGGATGAGGGTCTTAAAGCCCACACCCACAGTGACACACCTACTCCAACAAGGCCACACCCACTCCAACGTGGCCTCACCTTCTAATAGTGCCACTCCCTGGGCCTAGCATTTACAAACCATCACAGATGGAAAGACTTCCCATGCTTATGGGCAGGAAGAGTCAATATCGTGAAAACGGCTAACCTGTACCAAGTAGTCTAAAACTCCTATGCACTCTGTCTTAGTTTGGGATTCATTGCTGTTAACAGACACCATGACCAAGGCAACTCTTATAAAGGCACACATTTAATTGGGGCTGGCTTACAGGTTCAGAGGTTCAGTCCATTATCATCATGGCAGCGTGCAGACAGACATGGTGCTAGAGGAGCCATGAGTTTTACATCTTGATCCAAAGGCAGCAGGAAGAGACTGTTTTCTGAAAGCAGCCAGGAGGAAACTGGTATCCACACTGGGTGGGGCTTGAGCATAGAGACCTCCAAGCCCACCCTCACAGTGACACACTCTAATAAGGCCACTTGCTATGGGCCAAGCATTCAAACACGAATCTGTAGGGGCCAAACCTATTCAAACCACCACACACTCACAGACAAAACTCCAGGACTGTCATTCGTGGGATGGAAAAAACACTCTTAAAACTAATATTGTCAAATAAAGTCCCAAATAGCATAGAAATCCTGATGAAAGAGTACTGGCATAGCACCACACCTGATTTCAAGTTACATTGCAGATCCATCATCATAAAACCATCAGCCCAGGCAGGAAAGCTTACTTAGATGAGCAGGAAAGAACCGCAACCCAGACACAAAGCCATACAACCATAGCTATATGGATTTTGGCAAAATTGGAGGGAAAAAAAAAAAGACATTGCAGAAAAGGCAGCGTCCAACGAGGGCTGCTGGAAAACTGGATCTCACCGCGCAGAATATAAAACTTGCTCCTTGTGATTTCCACGTCCTGGTTCTCAGCATCTTGTTTGCTGTGATAAAAAACGCTGACCAAAATCATGGGGCTCAAGACAGGAACCTGGAGGAACTGAGGAGTCCGTCCACAGCTTGCTAGTCTCCCTTTTTGTACAACCCAGGACACCTGTCCAGGGGCAGAACCACCCACGGGGCTGGTCCCTCCCACACACCAACCATTGATCAAGAAAACGCTTCACAGACTCACCTATAGCCCAACCTGATGGAGGAGGCATTTTATCAACTGAGGTTCCCACTTCTCGGGGGGCTATGGTTTGTGTCAAGTAGACAGTTTTATGTCAGATTGACATACAACACATTAGCTTTCAACTACAACCTTTTTCTTTCTCATTTGTTCTCGTTAATATCAATATCATATTATAAAACATGTTACGGCC